ACTGGTCTGTCATATTCAAACCACCACCATTGCCTTGTAAATTCCGAGTTTCTCACATACATCTCATTATTTGCTCTTTTGTTTTTTTCTCTTAGCACAAAGATAACCACATCTAAGTCCAGATTTTTTTTTTTTAAAGTATTTTAAAAATATGTGAATGAAAGAAAGAGTTCCTCATGACTTTGGGTGAAAGAGTAGTATCCTTAGATCTAGTCCTTGTTTGATTTATTTTTTTCCAAAGGAAAGGCTCTGGGAAGAATTGAGATCCAACGAGTTACATGTGATTCCATGTATGTCAGAGGAGAGCAGTGCTCATGGGCCCTCAGTGGCTGATTATTTTGGAAATAGATTCTTCTGAGGTGATTCTGGGTTGACTCAAACTTCCAAACTTTTGGTTAGCAGAACCCAGGGACTCCAGAAATAATATCAGAAAAGGTATTTCCCCAGATGGTGATTCAGTGTCTATTGCTGAAACAAAAACCTACAGGTGTCTCAGATGTGCCGAGAATAATTAACTGAAAGGAGAACTCCGCTACCTACTCTGCTTTCTTACAACAGCTCTCCAAAGACATCATTTGCAGGGGTACTGGTTCCACTAATTAAAAAATATAAAAAAAAGAAAAGGATTTATGGTCAAGGAAGTTTGGAAACATGGACTTAAACAAAATGGAACTGTTTTATTTACTCCAATACTTTAATATGTTCATGTACATTGTTGTTGTTAAGTGCCAACGAGTCAGTTCTGACTCATAGCAACCAAGGCGAATGTGAACTGCCGACGTTGTGGTTCAAACTGACCTTGTGGTCCAGTGCTTTATAGCACAGTGCCACACAAGGACTCCTCATGTGCATTATGGATTGCTTGAAAAAGAAAAGAAGTTTGGGAAACACTGGTCATTCTCCAAACTAAGTAAGTTTTGATCTCAAATGATTGGCTATTCTATGGTATGTGTACCTCACTAGTGTTCCAGAGCTGAAGGATGACCAAGGGCCAGTCTCAGAGTTCCATCAGTTTCTATCTGACCATTAATCCTGATCATTTTTATGATCTGGAGTTTTGTTGCACATTCTGGTATGACGTTGTGGGTTAATGTGCAAAGCTGTTTGAACTGCAAGGTTGGCAGTTCAAGCTCACCAGCTGCTCCTCAGAAACCCTATACAGGACCGCTATGAGTCGGAACCAACTGGATGGCATTTCACAACAACAACAATCCAGGACCGCTTTCAGAGCAATTGGTAATAGTAGCTGGACACATCTAGTTTTCCTGGTCCCTGGGCTGTGAAGACTGATGTTCACTCATATAGTCCATTAGCCCATTGGACTAATTGCTTCCAAGTGTTCTCAGTTTTCATCATTCTTCTTTACTCTGGACAGGGAGAGACAATAACTGTACCTTAGATGGCTGCTCATGAACTTTTAAGACCTGAGTCACTACTCACCATGGTAGAATGTAGAACATTGTCTTTGTGAACTATGTTATGCCAATTGACTGTGGTGTCTACCCCGATACTATGGTCCTGAGCTCCTAAACTTCTTTGACCAGGAATGTCTTATGTGTCTAGTATTTCACTCAACTCACTTCCCACTGGTTGGCAGCCATTTCCCACATAGAGTTCTACACTTTATGTATTGTCTTATAAAAATCACCTAATCCCTGGCTGGGGAAATATACTATTCTGCATCTGAAATGTGCAATTTCTATTTTTTAAAAGCAATACTGAAATGGATAAAAAGAACTTCCTTAATTTTACATGTGTGTCATCCCAATCAAGTTAGAGGAATATACCCTGCTTTTAAAAAGACCATGGGGGCTGCCAGGAATTCTAAGGATGCTGACAATCAATTCCATCTTCATCCACTAAATCTCTGCCTGGAGGGAGAGTAAGATGAAAACGAGGAGCCAACCCACTTAAACAGGATGAGTTTTGGGCACCAAATTGCAGTGTCTTTAACTTGTTAAGGTTGGTAAAGCAAATAATTGGTTTTGGGTATTCAGAGGAAGCAACTTAGGAAGTGAAGAGAAATGTTCTGGTAGCCTCCTGAGTAGCTGTCCACATACTTACCTAGTCCTGATTCTCCCATTGCTGATATAGTTCTTCAATCTTGAAATACCTTTTACCTCTTCTTCACCAGTTTAGTTCCAAAACTTGCCTCAAGACCTAGCTCAATTCTCACTAGCTTCACGAAGTCTTCCCTTTTTTATCTCCTTTTTCACCCCAGTACCGTTTTTCAAATTGTATCCGTATTGTTATTAACAAGACACAGCAGAGAAGGCAGGATGGAATCAGAGACTGACCTCCTTACTATCAGGATGTAACTTCAGTTTCCTCACCTTTTAAAAGGTGTTAGAATTGAAAACCTCAATCCCTATACTTTCTGAAACCCTGTGCTTTTGTGTTTTCATTTCTTATCCTAAATATATAAGGAGACACTGACTTTTGCTATCTGTTATGTTTCTTTTGTCCTTTTGTCTTTCCAATTAGATTGTAGGCATTAAAGCAAGAAGCCATATATATATTGTTGTTGTTAAGTGCCGTCGAGTCGGTTCCGACCCATAGCGACCCTGTACAGGGTTTCTGAGGGTGTAAATCTTTACGGGAGTAGAAAGCCTCATCTTTCTCCCGCGGAGCGGCTGGTAGTTTCGAACCGCTGACCTTAAGGTTCGCAGCCCGATTCGTAACCACTACGCTACCAGAGCTCCTTCATATATATATATATATATACATATATATATATATTTTTATTAATTTATTTATTTTGGTTAAATATTGTGCTGTGCAATAAGTATTTGCTGGATAGATGAAATGTTACAATATTGGTGTCCTACTAAGGTAGCGTAGTGGTTACGAATTGGGCTGCGAACCGCAAGGTCAGCAGTTCAAAACTACCAGCTGTTCCGCAGTAGAAAGATGAGGCTTTCTGCTCCTGTAAAGATTTACAGCCTCAGAAACACTGTACAAGGTCACTATGAGTCAGAACTGACTCCACGGCACATAACCACCACCACCAATAACTAATAATGCATGACTTTTAGGCAAATCATTGTGTATTTGCTCCTAAGGTAGAATATATCCTGATTTCCTCTATGAAAATAAGAATTCAGTGTTGGTCTGGCTGTTGGCTCCCTGTGAGAAAAAGTTCATAAGAGTGTTTTAGAACAAGGCTATACTCTCAAGGTCTTCATGCCCTTCTAAAAATCCTCCAGTGCCGTTGGATAGGTCACAACTCTGTTTAGTATTCTTCCTGTATACTCTCAGTTTCACTTTTGCTGATCCTACAGCATGACTTTATCCCACTCAGTTTTGCTGAGAGAACTAACAGATCATCACTCCTGGAGAATGGATTGCCCACTGTCTTCACTTTTTGACTCTTCAAGAGGCAACAGATTCAAATGTTAATTCCTTCCTGACCTGGGATCAGGGGACAATTTAACTACTTTTTGGTTTCCTTTGCATCAGGTGTTTTAGGAAACATGGTTATTATATTTACTTCCCTTTGATAGTTACACATACATATTAATATACATGAAATCTAGGGCGTATTGCAGATGTCAACACATGAGCACAGTATTTATTTTTTTGAGCATGTGCACTGATTTTTTTCTTCTTTTTGATAAGAAAAATAATAGATAAGACAAAAGGCCCCTGACTCCATAAAAGTCAAATGATTGATTTCTTTCCATGGTAAGGCAGAGGTGGCATTTATAGTCCTACAGCCTCTGTTGGTTTTTTGTAGCTGAAAGTCCCAGTTCCAATAGATAGGGAGGGGATACTTGGAATCCATTCTAAGGCAGACTAACTGGGAAATTTACCAAATATCTTTTCAGGCAGGACTAGAAGGTAAGGGATGTAAAGGCGGTTTAGAGTGGGGAACCGCATAGGTTAGGTGTGTGTGTGTGTGTAAATCCAGTGGTTAATAAACTCTGCTTAAATGTCCAGAAAAGATAGTAAGGTGAGACTGAACTTCTTTCATTTGCAATGCATATCATTGTGTGAACTCTGTTGTGTTTTAGATTTGCTGGCTTGTCACTGTTTGGAAAACTAGAAACTTCTTTTTCATGTAGTGGGCAGAATGATAGCCCACATTTATCCTAAGCCATCAATGTGAGTACAAGGATGGATGTTGAAATTTCTTATTGTCAAAGATAGATCAGAATGGAAATGCAGTGGTAATTGAAGAGGTAGTCATTAGATTAAATTTCACAAGAAATCTCTTGTGTCAAAATCATCTTTAATAACCCAAAGTAGATAGCAATATGTATTAAATAATTGTTTTCTTTGAGAAGGAAACATAAAGTGCTTATAGGGCTGCTTTTTAAAACAGTTAACCGCAGGGGAGTTTAAATGCAACCTGATTTTTGCCATTTTGAATAGACTTTTTGTTCTCTGTTTGTATAATTCTATTCCTATTCATCTGAATTATATTGCAGTCACTTCCCTGTTCTGAGGTTTGTCTGTTTCTTCCGAGGACATTAGAAATCAAGGTGTTGAGCTTTGTCTGTGTGGGTTTCTTTATGATTGGTTTCTTTCTTTGCAAACTCAAAATACATTTTCCCAAAATAATGAAACATTTCATATTTTAGGTTTTAAATAAGGTGGTAATATTTCAATCCATTTATTTCTAAAATAAAGCAAAGAGACTAATCAACTTTACTCAATTGAAAACAATTGTCTGTAATGGAAATTCAAACAAAAACTTCAGTCCTGAGCAGTCTGTTTGTTTGCACTGTTTTAAGTACTCCTCCTGCTTTAAATTAATGGTGCAAAATGGCTCCTGTTTTCAACATTTACTTAAATCAGAATAAAAGAGCTTTCTGGTGTTTTAATTAATTCAGCTAATAGAGTTCATTTTTTTCCTAGTTTGTGGTTGTTGTATTGTGAAGTACTATCGAGTGGGTTCTGACTATTTGTGGTACATATTAGTAAAGAACTGTGTAAGCTTAGAAGGAATGAGCTATCTAAGACTATACTTTGGATTGTTTGCTGATTTTTACAAACAGGTGTCTTATTAAGGATTTTGAAAAACGGCCTTCCGTCACATATCTCCTCGACCACCCATTTATTAAAGGAGCCCATGGAAAGGTTTCATTTTTGCAAAAACAGCTGGCCAACATCCTCCAAGACCAGAGGCAACTAAACCCTGTTAAAACCAGGTAAGATACTGTACTCAGCGTCTTCCTGCTTCTTCTCTCAGATTGTTCCTAAAAATAGCTTGTCATTTATATTTGTTTGCCCAGAATTATTACTGTTAATGATCTGATCCCTGCACTTTTGAGTTTCATTTAGATTACATTCAATATTCTGTGCCCAGTGGATGAAAGTACTTAATGTAATGGAAGAGCTCGTCAGATACAAGCTGCCCATTGCTACTTTGATAGCTAATTTCTCTCAACTGTGACTGAGATCTCACTCTGCCGTTGTCTTCGGTTAGCTCTAGTTAAAACAACAAACATATACATTTATATTGAATATAAATATGAATTTATTACCAATAAAGAGGACTGTAGAAAAGCAGTTATAGCTGAAATGCTTTAAAAATCTTTACTCCACCATTTCAGACTATCAAACAAAAATGTAGCTTGTGCTCTGATACCATTTCCTCTTTAGTTAAAAATTCTTTAGAGGCAGTTTAGTAATTTTAAATGATTCCTCCACTCCAACTCTCCAGATAATTGTCTTTGCTATCTTTTTTTGAAAGCAACTGAGATTTCTTTTTTTTTATTTTAAGGATATTTCAAGAAAAATAAATGTTTGTTTTCAGTGGTGATTGCTTAACTCATTATTCTGTAGTCCAG